GGCCCCCCCCCCAAGTGGCGGAACGCCAGGGCCCGGTCGCAATCGCGACCGCTGCGACCCTGGTAGTTCCGCCAGTGATTTATGCACATGGGGGCGGCATTATTTGCCCATTACAGATTTTGCATGCTGCTTTGCAGTGCTATGCCATGTCTGTGCCTTAGAAGGCCATTTCACAATTCAAATCTATGGGCCAAACAATACACTTCTTATGTGGGTATATCTCAGTAACAATACATATATCAGTTACATTTTAATCTGCTATTTGGAAAATGTTTTTTTTTTTATTGTCTTTAAGGGAAATAGATCTCTAGGTAATTACTGAATGTTATTTTCTACCAGGAGCAACCACTATGACTATCAATGTGGAAATATTTTCTCAGGAAGCTCGAGCAGCAGCACTTGTCATTGTGGGCGTGATAAACTGGTTAGGCCTGGCTATCATCGGCATGGTATTTCCTTTCATAGTGGTAAGAGAAAAAATGTAATGTTCCAATTAATATTTTATAGGTGGATAAGATTCATTAGAGATGTGAATAGGTATTTAAAGGCTAAGTTCACCTTTTGCAAAAATTAAAGAAATGCATATTTAATAATATAACAAAAAATATGCATTTCTTTCATTTTTGCATTCAATCCCGGAAAGCATTGCAACTGTGATCACTCGATCAGGGCTGCAGAGCTCAGGTTTCTACACATGCTCATACTGGCAGAGCTTCATACTGATGTACGGAGTATCAGGTAGGAGAGATGGGGAAGGACGACTGGACGGGAATAAGGACAGCTCTACCGCATCTAACCTTCCCCATCTCTCCTAACTGAAACTCCGTACCTCAGTATGGAGTTTGCCTGGGAGAGAATGTGCAGAAGTTTGAGCTTTGCAGCCCTGATCGAGTGATCACAGTTGCAATGCATTCCAGGCTTGAATGCAAGAATTAAAGAAAAGCATATTTTTTTGTTATATTATTAAATATGCATTTCTTTAATTTTTGCAAAAGATTGAACTTAGCCTTTAATGTCTCATGAAACATTATCTTATATAGAATGAGCTGTCACATTAACATACAATTAACCACTATGCTGATTTACGCTGTGGAGCTGATTTACTAAAGTCAAATAGTGTGTTCTCTTTGCAAGGGAATTTTCAAAGTTCCTTCCAATGAAAATAATGCCTTAGCAGTAGTTGAGAGTGGCCACTAGGGAACTCCATAAGGTATCTGATATTGTACTATTTGTCCCATAAATGTGTTCTTTAGTGTAATTTGTTTTTTTGTAATTAATTTGTTACTTTGTGTCACGTACCGTGGTGCGGGCCCGAAGTGATAAGGAGGACCTCCCTTGCGGTTCCGTCTGTGGAACCCTGAAGTGTAACAGGGGGCACAGGCAAGAGCAGCACGGGTGCCGGTATGAAATCCTGGGTGCCGCTGAGCGGAATCAAGCACTGTGGGAAACAAGGCAAGTTAGGTTAACAACCAAGGAGGCAATACTAGTAGCCAGCAGGATCCAGCGAGTGGTCAGAGACTTTTTACGTGTTTACTGTTGAATGGGGGAAAATATGTTAATATTATTTGATGCTTAAAGTAACTTGTAGTTAATTGGTATTTTATTTTTATTTGAACTCTTGATACTTATGAATGGAGCATCTGCCATTTTAATAGTATTAACTGCAGCTTGAATAAATGACTGGTGAAGTTTTATCCTACTATTGTTTGTTGCTGGATTATTTAATCAGCTGATAGCTAGCTGTATATTATCCTTATGAATACGCACTTTGTGTTGAAACGCATCAAGGATTAATGTCTGTTTATTTGTGCAAGCTCTTAAATCTTCACAATAAATCTTGTGGTCAAGCAAGACAAACAGGGGAATGGGAATCAGTTTACTGGATCTTTTCTGAATATACCAGGACCAGGTAAGGTCTGAAAGCTGTGATCATTGAATCGTAGGGTATGTGAAGCTGGCTCGATGGTAGCAGCAAAGATTCATTTGTCTCATGGGAATATTAGATTCTTGTTTTTGGGTTTAGATATGCTTGAGTATAGTGTGGGGATGAGCTCAGGTTTGGACCAAACCTAGTCTGAAGCTGAAAAGGAGGCTCCTTTGCTGCCATCTAATCAGCTGCAGCTGAAGAATTCCATGCCTGCAGCTCCATACAAGCAAAGAGATTGGTTGCTGTGACATCATTGAACTTATAGAGCCACATGGCTTTATTTGGTCAATGACATTGAACTAAAATGGCCATGTAGCTATATAAGGTAAAGGGTGTCAGCACAAGCATCCCATCCCTTCATTTATGTGCGGGTCGAGGAATGCAGTTGATTTGGAGGGTGGCCCACATCCCTTCCAGGTTCAGAGGAGCTCAGATTCGGACTGAGCTCAGTCCGAACCGGAGTTCATCCGTAGTAGAATGTCTGTCTGCATATGTCAGCTGTACATTAAAGGTGAGGATTGTGCAGGATGCTCTGTATATTGCATTTACTCATTTGCATTTCATTCTTCTTCCAGGCTACCATCGAGCAGTATTGTTTCCTTACATTCCTCACCATCATAACAATCTGTGGGTTGTTTCTATACTTTTACCTCCCAGAAACAAAAGGAAAATCAGCACTGGAGATAAGAGAGGACTTCAACAAATACAACTACAGAAAACCACCTAGCAAAGATCGCACTCCTGAGATTTATGTAATATCTACCAGACTCTAGCTTCACAAAGCTTCAAACATCTGTACCACAAACTGTTTTTGGTCAAGGCTTTTTTTGATCCACATGAAGAGATGCAAAGCAGTGCAAAGCAGTTCACACAAAAGTGTAATATTTGCCACAAAAATTATGTTTTATATACTGTGTGCTACAGATCTGTTTTTAATGGTACTTCTGCCTATTTAAATTTTAGAAAAGAAAATTTAATAATCCAAGATGGATACGTATATTTATTAATCGCCATGTCATCAATGGTGAGAGCTTCTTTTAACCCTTTGATAGTCAAGAAGCATAGGATATGTCCTTGAAAATTGAAGGAAAATTGAGTTAAAGAGCTAATGCCAAACACTGCTATAACTATAGCACCGTTTTCATAAATACATGTGTGAAGGTGATCTACGAGTCATTATGGCACAAATTATATCAGCATAACCACATCATATTATTATTTGGTTTGAAAAAAGTATATTCCTTGTGTCACGGAAGCCTCAGTGTCCTGGGCACCTGGAGGGGACTGAAGGCCAGCCTCCTCCTCTCTGACTATGGACCTTGGCCCAGAATGGCTTATGTTTTCGGGAGGTGAGTACAAGGGGGTCGTTGGGACTACTTCTTCCCCCTGGTACAGGGTGTCATGTTTCCCCAATTACTAGAGACTCTGTGGACTATGGAGCCTGTTATAAGAAGCCATCCTAAGAGCCAATAAACCCCATCACCCAGTTCTGAACTGACTGTGACAATATGGACTGCAGCAGGACACAAGTGGTAAATTTTGGACGTGGACTCCTATTTACATCGTTAAGGTCTGTTTGTCTATTTGTGTGGCTGTGTTACTAATGGGATTACGATAACTCTGACACTAGGTGTAGCTGAGTAAATTAACATACTACAGACACTCAGGAAACAGGTAATCTCATTATACCTGTTATTGTGTTTATTCTCACCCCATCCTTTGTGCTATTCAAACCATCAAGGCTTAAGGGGCAGAAGATTGATATCGGCTCTGGACCTCCAGGCACTGGTGAGGAATGTTTGCTTTTACTTTTACATTTTTTGATTGTATTATTTTTTACCTATCCCAAACTGTATAAATGCTGTGCTGGGTCTCAATAAAGCTTGTTCTTCTGTACCCTATACCACGTCTCAGCTGGTTCCTGGGCAGAACTGCATAACACTACATCAAGCTTCGGGCTGTTGGCTGGGTGTAAAGGATATAATGACTGCGTTTGGGACCTGCTGGAAGACTTTGGATTGGGTTGATAGTAGGGATCAACCGATACCGATACTGGTATCAGTGCCGATACCCTGTATTTGTGAAGAGGGGCATTGAGCAGGCTTCCTGGCCAATTAGGAAGTTGGGCGGTGTGTAATGACTGCCAAATATAGACAGCATGTTTGTCCATTCGCCAAACTGCAAACAGACTGGGTTCGGGTCAAACTCAAGTTCAACTTGAACCCATCCATAATTGTGAGTATTTCAGGTTATGAGAGACAGCAACAGTCTCCAAAGGCTCGGCATAATTGTTATGTAGTCAAATGGGTACTCACAATCCAGTCATCCTCAAGCTAAAAAAGTCTTTAAGATGCTCCATAAATGATCAGGTTTAATAAAATAGAGAGGGGGAGAAGGGAGGACAGAGGGGTAGAAAGGAGGAGCAGCTGGTGAGGACTTACAGTATATGAGGTTCAAAAACAGATTTTTTTATTGAAAAATATACTTTATTTATATAATAAAATATACAAAAACAATTTACACATTCGGGGTACATTCTACCCTGTACTGTGACGCAGCACATAAACACTACATAGCAATACAGTACAATCACAGCAACAAATTACATTCACCCCGCGGTGAGATGCCTGACGTGTAGCACAAGACAAGAATCCTGAGCCCTCCACGTCATTCATGACACCGCTTTACCCGTACTGAGTATGTGGTCTAGATAGGGGCTACTGGCCCCCCCACTGAAAACAGTATCAACTGTGATATTTACATATGAATGGGCGGCGCTATCTACATATGAATAAGCCACGACTTATTCTCCGCCAAAAAATATCCGCGCGTCGCTAGAGTGTTCGGGTTTGGCTTGAATAAAAGGTGGCAACCCTATCCCTGCCGCACAGATGCCCGTACATGCTACGGGTGGCTGTGCAGGGATGTAGCGGCAACTCTCTGGAGGGGGGGCCCTCTTCTTCCTCGCTGGGCCCCCCCCCCCAAGTGGCCGAACGCCAGGGCCCGGTCGCAATTGCGACCGCTGCGACCCTGGTAGTTCCGCCAGTGGCCACATCTAAGTGGGACACCTGACATTCCTGTCACAAGAATCTATATGTTTCTGCTGCAGGAATGTCAGAATGTCCTGTGTAACGAGGCCTAATTCTTTAACAGTGCCACCAATAAAGCTGGGAATATGGGATATGCAATCACACAAGGGGGGTTATAATTATAACTTAAAATACCACTGGGGTTTATCATTTGTAACCCCACTTTCCCCAGCTTCACTGGTATGGCAGTGTTATTTTAAGTTATAATTACTGTACACTGTCACACCACAAAAGGATAACACAGTGCAATATAACCCACTGTCCCTAATTTCTTTGGTGTAGCAGGGTAAATATAACTTAAAATAACAGTTACACCAGTGACGCTGGGAAAAGTGGGGTTACAAGGTGGGTGCAAAGTGGGTGGTGGCGTGGGTGGGTACACAGAGAGGGTGGCCGATGTGGGTGGCAGTGTGGGTGGGTGCAGGGAGTGAGTGGGCAGTGAGGATGCACAGCATCTCACCTCTCTTCCTCTGGCCAGTTCTAAGGCATTGTTCACACCATATATAGTGCGTTCCAGCGCGGTTAGATGCTAGAACGCACTGTATCTCATAGTAAACTCCCCCCCTGCGTTGTGGTGCATGCAGCATTTTTTCCAATCACACTGGACCGCAACGTGCTGCTTTCTTCTCCAGCCGAACTCAGGCAGAGATAACTCCGCCCTCCCCCGTCTACACTGTCACTGTGGCAGGGGAGAGGAGTGCAGGTGTCCTTAGGTTCTGTGCGACTGTGCACAGTTTTTTACTTGCGGCCGCACAGAAATTAAGGACCCCTGAGCCTCCCTCCTGCTCCCGACCGGGCACCCTTCTGGCCTGGGCCCCATAGGCTGCTATGGTGGTAGTTACACCACTGGTCCTTAGTTCTGATGAGCTTGTATATGGTCTTCGGTTTCCACAAGTCGGGTTTAACTCCATGTAGTCCATGCTTGAAAGTGTCCTAGTAAAACCAAGGAGTGTCCCAGTTGTAGTGGACGGAACTGTACCATTTGTCTCATCCCAGGGTCCTCCAAAGAGACAGGAGGAAAAAACAGGACATGGAGTTCCCCGCGGAGTCCAAAGTCCTGTCAATCAAAGTCCTGCGAATGAAGTTACAAGCAAATAAAAACCTCAGCATGGTGGGAATGTCCAGTACTCCCTTTCCACATTTGAGGGGCTCTTTAAACATAACAGCCCGCTTCACTCCAGCCCCAGATGAAGTGTTATGTCCAGAGTCCAGCGCGTTGCTATGTCTAGCACATTGCTAAGTCCAGCTTGTTGCTATGTCCAGAGTCAAGCGATGTTGCTATGTCCAAGTCCAGAGTCCAATTTACATACTGTTCTGCATTGCTTTATAATGTATTGCTGGGATTTGTAGTCCCCCTACAGGCTGTGCCATTCTGCATTAGAGTGTAAGCTTCTCTTTACAGAGAGTGATATGACTGGCTCAGTGTTCTTTGAACAGCACTGCGTTATATGTCAGAGCTATATAAATGTATAATAATAATAGTGTGAGACTGTGGGGGGATCATAAAGTGTAAGCTCCTCTGGTGCAGAGGGGGGCCCCAGGATAAAATCTTGCACCGGTGCCCTTTATTCCTTAGGTCCTCCACTGCGACCAGAAATGCTTGCAGCTCACTACCATTCTGTGCCCCAGCGCCCGCATGTAGGTCCCACAATCCCGCACACCTTACATGCTGGGTGCCAGGCTATCTAGTCTCCCCGCTATGCCTGCAAGTGGATTCAGCTGTCTCCCCTCGCTCTCTCCCCTAGTTGTCCTTCCTCTTTCTCCCCTAGCTGTCTCTCTTTGCTCTCTCTCCTGGCTGTCTCTCTTTGCTCTATCCCCTGGCTGTCTCCCCTCGCTTTCTCATTTTGCTCTCTCTCCTGGCTGTCTCCCCTCGCTTTCTCTCCTGGCTGTCTCCCATCACTCTCTCTCCTGGCTGTCTCCCCTCACTCTCTCTCCTGGCTGTCTCTCTTCGCTCTCTCTCCTGGCTGTCTCTCTTCGCTCTCTCTCCTGGCTGTCTCTCTTCGCTCTCTATCCTGGCTGTCTCTATTTGCTGCATATTCTGCAAAAAAAATTGCTGCACAGCACTGGAGTGTTCGGGGTTTTGTTTTCAGAAAAGGTGACAACCCTAATCAGCTCATGTCCCGGGTGAGACGGGACAAGGGCTGGTGCTAGCAAAAAGCTGATGGGGGGTGTTTTGACCTGTGTAGGCAAAATTCTTGCAACGGCCATGGGCCCCTCCACTGGACATCACCCTCACTCTACCATCATATATCACAGTTCAATGTTTTCATTATGGATGTAAATAAGGCCTCACATTTGAGTTTTTCCTAAGGCCTCACAAAATCTAGAGCCACCTCTGAATGTAAGGGAGGTGTGAAGTTAATGTTTACCATAATTAATCTTGTATGTACTGTGCTGGCAGATCTGATTATCAGGTGAAAACGAGGTTTGGACACAGTCTGTCCTTACAAAGGGATAAAGATCTAGAAGCAATGTATGTTCTTGAAATGAAGCTCAGTCTGTCCCTGGTCTTTCTATGGGGACAGTCAGTTTCCTGTCACTTGGAAATTGTACAGAAAAGCTCCAAAGACCTGCTACACAGAAACATCTGAAAGGTACGAAATATATTTTTTAAAATAATTTTTAGGTATGCTGTGTGAATGGGAACACATAGCAAACATATAATTGCTTCTATATTATCCACAAAGGGTTTGTAGGTAGGTGCAGTACGGCCAATGGCCACTAGATGCCCC